ATAGAATAGAATATAGAATAGAATAGAAAACATGGAGTTGAGTGGAATAGAATAGAATAGAATATAGAATAGAATAGAAAACATGGAGTTGAGTGAAATGGAATAGAATGGAATGAAACAGAACAGAACAGAGCAGAACAGAGCAGAGCAGAGCAGAGCAGAGCAGAGCAGAGTAGAGTAGAGTAGAGTAGAGTAGAGTAGAGTAGAATAGAATAGAATAGAAAACACGAAGTTGAGTGGAATGGAATAGAATAGAATAGAATAGCTGGAAGGGATCTTGGAGGCCTTCTAGTCCAACCCCCTGCTCAAGTAGGAGACCCTATACCCGTGATGGCGAACCTATGACACGCATGCCGGAGGTAGCATGCAGAGTTCTCTCTGTGGGCACACACACAGTCCCCAGTTGCTCTTCTGGTTTCCTGTGCACACATCCATTTTCGGGGCCATTTTCCATGCTGTTTTTAGGCCGTTTTTCAGGACATTTTCAGGTTGTTTTTCGGGCTGGTTTCGGCCCAGAAATGGCTGAAAACACTCTGAAAACGCTCCAAAAATGTCCTAAAAATAGCCAAAAAAACAGGCATGTGCACCGGCCAGCTGGTCTTCAGATTTCTAGTGCTCCAGTGTGCATGCGCATGCACACACTTTCCGGTTTGGGCACTCGGTGCCCAAAAGGTTCACCATTACTGCCCTATACCATTTCAGACAAATAGGTTTCCAATCTTTTCTGAAAAACCTCCAGTGATGAAGCACCCACGACTCCTGGAGTCAAACTGTTCCACTGAATAATTATTCTCACTGACTCCCTCTTCTTTTTGGCAGCCCCTCAAATATTGGAAGACTGCTATCATGTCATCTCTAGTCCTCCTTTTCACTGGACTGGACATCCCGAATTACTAATCATGGACATAATCCTTTCTGGCAATGTTTGATTATCTTGAGCATAATATCTATAGAGGTTGTCTTTCAGACAGATTCATGGTTGTCCCCAAAGTGCTTTTATTTTAAAATTAAAATAAATTAAAATGTACTTTAAAGACAACTGGATTTCCTGAGTTAAAGAGTTAAGTTGTTTCCTTCTCCTCCAAGAAACTTCTTCTGATTCCCCACCAGTTAGTTAGAACCAAAGAAGCTTCTTGGATCAGAAGCGAGACGTTTTAAAGAAAAACCAGTTGCCTTGAAAAGAAAAGCATTTTGGGGGTGAACTTAAGCATAGAAAGAAATCAAGTTAAGAAGGGTATTATTATAAAATTGTACAGGGTGTAAAACATGGATCTTCGTTTTTGGGGCGGGCATCATATTTGGAATTTTGAGAGCATAATACAATACAATATAACACAATAGCAGAGTTGGAAGGGACCTTGGAGGTCTTCTAGTCCAACCGCCTTCCTAGGCAGGAAACTATACCGTTCCAGACAAATGGCTATCCAACATCTTCTTAAAAACTTCCAGTGTTGGAGCATTCACAACGTCTGGAGGCAAGCTGTTCCACTGATTGATTGTTCTGTCAGGAAATTTCTCCTCAGTTCTAAGTTGCTTCTCTCCTTGATTAGTTTCCACCCATTGNTTCCTTCTTTCTGTCTTTCTCTCTCCCTTCCTTCTCTCCCTCCCTCCTTTCTCTTTCTTTCTTTCTTTCTTTCTTTCTTTCTTTCTTTCTTTCTTTCTTTCTTTCTTTCTTCTTTTCTCTCTCTCCCCCCACTCTCTTTCTTTGAAAAGAACTTTTGAAAGAACAAATGATTTTTTTTTAAATGCCAGGTGGGCAGAGAAGGGGGTTGCCTGCAGGCACTTTAGGGGCTTCAGATACTCCATTGCCTCACAGAGCCACATAATAAACTTTCAGCAGATTGAGAAATCAGCTGCTGTCAATGAATGGAAAGGAGCCAGCAGCTCCATCAAGGGAGGATGAGATAAGTGCGACAGCATCTCTCTCTTCCCTCCCTGGAACAAATGAGATTTTGTTGGCATGCATTATGCACAGTTGGCTTCTTAGGGCCTTCAGTTTACTAGCAGTAGCAGTTGCATTATCCACACCCAGAAGACAGCTATACCCAAGAATAACTGTCGCTTTATGTAAAAAAAAAGATCTTAAGACTCTGGAAAGAGTGCAGAGAAGAGCAACAAAGAGGATTAGGGGACTGGAGGCCAAAACATATGAAGAACAGTTGCAGGAACTGGCCATGGCCAGTCTAGTGAAGAGAAGGACCAGGGGTGACATGATAGCAGTGCTCCAATACCTCAGAGGCTGCCACAAAAAAATAACAGAATAACAGAGTTGGAAGGGACCTTTGAGGTCTTCTAGTCCAATCCCCTGCTCAAGCAGGACCCTTTCAGACAAATGGTTGTCCACTCTCTTCTTAAAAACCTCCAGTGTTGACTGGAAGCAAGTCATCCCAGTGATTAATTGTTCTCACTATCAGGAAATTCCTCATTAGTTCTAGGTTGGTTCTCCCCTTGATTAATCTCCATCCTTTGCTTCTTGTCCTGCCTTCAGGTGCTTTGGAGAATAGCTTGACTCCCTCTTCTTTGGGGCAGCCCCTGAGATATTGGAAAACTGCAACTATGTCCCCCCCAGTTCCTCTTTTCATTAAACTAGGCAGACCCAATTCCTGCAACTGTTCTTCATGTGTTTTAGCTTTCAGCCTCATAATCATCTTTGTTGCTCTTCTCTGCACTCTTTCTAGAGTCACAACATCATATTTACACCAGAGCAACCCAAACTGGATGCAATATTCCAAGTGTGGCCTTACCAAAGGCATTATAAAGTGATATTAACACTTCACGTGATCTTGATTCTATCCCTCTGTTTATGCAGCCTAGAACTGTGTTGGCTTTTTTGGCAGCTGCAGCTACTCCTGGCTCATATCCAAGTGATTGTCCACTAGGACTCCAGGATGCCACTTGCAGTTACTCCTGTTGAGCCAGGTAGAGCGGGGTCAACCTATTTTCCAACGTACCTGAAGGCAGGACAGGAAGCAATGGATGGAAACTAATCAGAGAGAGATCCAACCTAGATCTAAGGAGAATTTTCCTGACAGTGAGAACAATTAGTCAGTGGAACAGCTTGCCTCCAGAAGTTCTGGGTGCTCCAACATTGGAGATTTTAAAGAAGAGATTGGACAACCAATTGCCTCGAAATTGTACAGGGTCTCCTGCCTGAGCAGCGGGCTGGACTAGAAGACCTCCAAGGTCCCTTCCAGCTCTTATTGTTCTGCTCTCCCATGATTAGAAATAATAAGAGTTCTGTATCTGGAAACCGCTGCTGCCTTCCCTTTCTGGACAGATTAATTTCAGGACCCTGGACAGCTGCTCATGGCCACTAGCAGGCCGGCATTTCTTCTGCGCCCCTCCTGACGGACTTTTTCACCGGGAAAAAAAACCTCATTAAACAGGATAAAACTGAATGTTGCTATTAGCTATGCCTAATCTGTCTGAACTCTCTGATTTAAGCATGTGACGGAAGGGGAAGAAAGAGAGAGAGAGAGAGAGAGAGAGAGAGAGAGAGAGANAGCTGGTCATTAGGGCAGAGGACCGGTTGTTAAATTATTTGAATCCCACCACTAGTAAGAACATACATTGATAGTTGTTAGAATGCCAATATTTCAAACGATCCAGAGAATGGATCCAGAGCTTTAGCATTCTCTATTGCTGGATCTACATTGTATTTAATAAATAGCACTTTAAAACCTGGCCTCAACTAATTAGATGAAATTAGACATCAGTCCCTCCTTAGACATACCCAATTCCAATAACTGTTCTTTATATATTTAAGTCTCCAGTTTCCTATTCATCTCGGTTATTGTGCCCCAGAAGTGGTATTCACCAGGTTCTGACCAGTTCTGGAGAACCAGTAGCAGAAATTTTGAGTACTCTGGAGAACCGGTAAATACCACCTCCTGCCTCCATCTCTACCCCCAAGTCCCAGCTGACTGGGAGAAAATGGGGATTTTGCAGTAACCTTCCCCTGGAATAGGAAGGGAATGGAGATTTTACAGTATCCTTCCCCTGCCACACCCACCAAGCCATGCCACGCCCAGCAAGCTATACCACGCCCACCAAGCCATGTCACGCCTACCAAGCCATGCCACGCCCACCAAGCTATACCACGCCCACCAAGCCACACCCACAGAACCAATAAAAATGTATGAATCCCACTACTGTTGTGCCCTAATCATTTTATATGCTGTTTTTTTGTGAATGTTGTGCATTCATGTTGTATTCTGTTATGCCACACAAAATAAAAATAAAATAAAACCCATCCAAGATGGCTGCATTTTGAGGGGCCATCAGGATGACTTATCGTCATTTTATCCCATTAGGCAAAAAATAAAATAAAATGCGAATTAAAGGAACAAGTTGAATTGTATTTTGGACTTTAAGAAAATCCCTTCCGGTAATTCCATAACCACATTTTCCCTAAATCCCTCCAGCTGGAAGATGTTGGCGACATCCTTGAAAAGATCCGCATTGGGCATGACGGCTCAGGTATCAATTCAGGCTGGCACCTTGACCAGGTAGACATACGGAGGCTTTTGCCAAATGGAAAGGTAAGGAGGAGTTTTTCATAACGAGTATTTCCAGCCAAATCTCTTTTCTGCTTTGCTTAAAGCAGATGCTTCTTTGATTACCAACTCAAATAAATCAGCCACCAAGTCAAATGTCAGACCCACCAAGAATGTAAAAGAATGTAAAAGAGTGGCTTTATAAAGCCACAGTACAATCATTCATTTAGTGACCGTTCAAATATTGACAGTATATGTCGGGCACATCCACAAAATGGTTTCCTTAGTGACTTGGCGATTTGCTTTCCAACAGACTCCCTTCCTCTTTCTTTCTTTCTTTCTTTCTTTCTTTCTTTCTTTCTTTCTTTCTTTCTTTCTTTCTTTCTTTCCTCTTCTTCCTTCCTTTCTTTCCTTCCTTTCCTTCCTTTCTTCTTTCTCTCCCTCCCTCCCTTTCCTTCCTTCCTTCTTTCTCTCCCTCTCTCCTTTTTCTTTCTTTCTTTCTTCTTCTTCCTTCTCTCGCTCTCCCTTCCTTCCTTTCCTTCCTTTCCTTCCTTCCTTCCTTCTCTCCCTCCTGTCTCTTCCTTCCTTCTTTCTTTCTCTCTTTTCCTTCCTTTCCTTCATTTTTTCCTTCTCGCCCTCCTTCCCTTCCTTCCTTCGCTCCCTCCTTCCCCTCTTCTTTCTTTCTGTCTTCTTTCTTTCTTTTATCTTCTCCTTCCTTCCTTCCTTCTTTCTCTCTCTACCTTCCTTTCCTTCATTTTTTCCTTCTCTCCCTCTCTCCCTCCTTCCCTTCCTTCCTTCTCTCCTCCCTCCCCTCTTCTTTCTTTCTTTCTTTCTTTCTTTCTTTCTTTCTTCTTTCTTTCTTTTATCTTCTCCTTCCTTCCTTCCTTCTTTCTCTCTCTACCTTCCTTTCCTTCATTTTTTCCTTCTCTCCCTCTCTCCCTCCTTCCCTTCCTTCCTTCTCTCCTCCCTCCCCTCTTCTTTCTTTCTTTCTTTCTTTCTTCTTTCTTTCTTTTATCTTCTCCTTCCTTCCTTCCTTCTTTCTCTCTCTACCTTCCCTTCCTTCATTTTTTCCTTCTCTTCCTCCCTCCCTCCCTTTCCTTCCTTCCTTCCCTCTCTCACTATCCTGTCTCTTCCTTCCTTCTTTCTTTCTTTCTCTTCCTTTCTTTCCTTCATTTTTTCTTTCTCTCCCTCCTTCCCTTCCTTCCTTCTCTCCTCCCTCCCCTCTTCTTTCTTTCTTTCTTTCTTTCTTCTTTCTTTCTTTTATCTTCTCCTTCC